CATCCATCCATCCATCCATCCATCCATCCATCCATCCATCCATCCATCCATAAAGCTGCTGATTATTAGAAGTTATGATACATTTGTTTTTTATCTTAGATTGTTTCAGAAGTTAAACTTTGATTTCTTAATCCAAAATAGGTTTTAAGAGCAACTTTGCTGTTTTCACAGGTTTCATTTTTTTTAATTTTTCTCAAATCATATTCTAGTTTTTTATTTTTATTTGTTCCATTTTTTTATATTTTATATATTTGTTTTTAATTATTCTTTTTCAGATGCAGTTTAACAAAGCGCATTATTTTATTAAACTAATTTCTACGGATCAGATTCTCTTCCCTTCTGGAGGCGGGCCTTCCTCTGGAGAGAAGAGAAAAGATGCATTTCTATTGGTCTGCTGAAAATTAGACACAGAATTTTTATTGGGTTTAAACAAAGTCGTGATATAAAATATATATATAAACTAAAGGTTCTGGGTTTAAGGGGAAGATAATGAGATCTGTAAAACGCAATTTGAAAAGAATGACATTTGTAATACTTAATCTAAAAAAAGAAATTATAAGATAGAAGATCTGTAAAAATGAAAAAAAGAAGTGTGAAGTTTTTTTATTTCTATAAAGGGTAAAAAAAATCTGAGAAAACAGCAAAGTTAAAAAAAAATGTTTTGAGAGTGATCTTAATCAAAGAGTTGTTTTTTTTGGATTGCAAATTTTTTCAAATTTCCTTTTACAAAAATGTGTTCTTTTCAACAAAAATGGAACAAAATTCACTCCGTAGTGACTGAATATTACAGAAGTTGCTGCTGCTTTAACAGAACGTTTCCACAGAGAAAGATGTGAATTTAATTTCATAAAGTTTCTGCCTGTCTGTCATCAGCGCCGTGTTGTTAGCAGCAGTCTGCCTGCAGCAGCTTAGTGAAAGACAACCTGCTGAATCACTGTGGCCACGGTCTGCTGAGCCTCTAAGACCCAACAGATCATTTCCTTTCTTCTTTGACACTTTTCTTTTGTCTGATGTCTCAATGCATCATGTCGTGTTTTAAGGATTATCTCGGTTGCATGACTTCAAAACCTGTCGACGCTCATCTATTCATGCTGAACGGGTCTGAACATGTCGTGCTTTAGGAGAACCGGTTTTTATAACTCCGTTTCCAAGGTGACGATACCTCCTACGAGAACTCTGGCGGGTTCGTCGGTCTGGTCGAAGAAGCGTCCGTGGATCGTCAGCAGAGTTCCCCCCATGATGCTGCCTTTGGATGGAGAGACTCCGGTCACCTCTGAGCAGGAAGCAGAGCAGAGATTAACACAGTCTGCAGAGGAACAGAGTCTGGAACATGGGGCTGTGCTTTCTGGCGTACCTGCAAACGTTTGGAACATGGAGAGTTTGGACAGAGATGAGATCCAGTACAGGTTCTTCTCTGGTTGGCTCCTAAAAACATGACACACATTGAACTGTGAACAATACAGGTGTGTTTATAATAAAGGTGCCTCTGCCTCCTTCCATGATGCACAAATACGCCTCAAAATCAGTCAGCAAGTAATACTTTCCTGTTGAACACATTTGCTTTCTACCTTAAAAGGCATTTTTTAGATCAGGATGTTGCTTTTTGAAGCCATTTTATGTCAGAACATAAAAATCTGCTTCTAAATCCGTTCACTTTGCTGCCTTAGAAACAAGGTGTTAGGAAGAGGCCTGAGGAGGACATTTACTGGCTGATAAGGTCAGTCTGTAGGCAGAGGGAATTGCTGGTAATAATTGCTGAGGTTTCTTTTGTCCTTAAACGTATGGAGGCACTTTGCTTTGGGGGGGAGGGCTTCCATTTTTATGGCTGAGTCCATGTTTTGGTAAATGAGTAGCTTTCTTTTATGGCCGGATAAACCTGACTGGGAAAACTGGAGTCTGCAGGCATACTGGAACTCTGCCTGTCCATCATGGCAACAAGAAACAAGAAAGAAAAGACAGACCTTTTATTTTACCAATTGGCAGAAATTCTGACCTCCATCTTTGGCTCTGAGCTGATTGTTTTCCAGACATCTAACGTTGGAACCAGGTTACCATTAGGCAAAACTAGGCAGCTCCCTGGGGCCCCAAGTTTTTTATGGCACTTTTGGTTCATGTTTTTGAAAGTAGATTGACAGGAATAGGTCGGAATTCGAACATGGGTTGGCCTCGTCAAGGACTGGGCTGTGCGCGCTAACCACTGCGCCACCTGCACGCCCCATAAAAC